ATGTATGTATGTATGTATGTATGTATGTATGTATGTATGTATGTATGGCATTCAGCTTTGTTCGGGTATTTTCCCACGTCATTGTAGTTGTTCTTTTAAAGTTGTAGCAACGTTTCAGCAGAATCTCATCTGCCATCATCAGGCTTCTGTATAGTGTTCATCTGTGAGTCAGACTTTGGTGGATGGAGCGAGACATGATGTCCCAGATGTGCTCAGTTGGATTCAGGTCTGGGGAACGGGCGGGCCAGTCCATAGCATCAATGCCTTCATCTTGCAGGAACTGCTGACACACTCCAGCCACATGAGATCTAGCATTGTCGTGCATTAGGAGGAACCCAGGGCCAACAGCACCAGCATATGGTCCCACAAGGGGTCTGAGGATCTCATCTTGGTACCTAATGGCAGTCAGGCTTCCTCTGGCGAGCACATGGAGGGCTGTGCAGCCCCCTAAAGAAATGCCACCCCACACTATTACTGACCCACTGCCAAACCAGTCATGCTGGAGGATGTTGCAGGCAGCAGAACGTTCTCCATGGCGTCTCCAGACCCTGTCACGTCTGTCACATGTACTCAGTGTGAACCTGCTTTCATCTGTGAAGAGCACAGGGTGCCAGTGGCGAATTTGCCAATCTTGGTGTTCTCTGGCAAATGCCAAATGACCTGCACAGTGTTGGGCTGTAAGCACAACCCCCACCTTTGGATGTTGGGCCCTCATACCACCCTCATGGAGTCTGTTTCTGACTGTTTGAGCAGCCACATGCACATTTGTGGCCCACTGGAGATCATTTTGCAGGGCTCTGGCAGTGCTCCTGTCCCTCCTTGCACAAAGGTGTAGGTAGCGGTCCTGATGCTGGGTTGTTGCCCTCCTACGGCCTCCTCCACGTCTCCTGATGTACTGGCCTGTCTCCTGTTAGCGTCTCCATGCTCTGGACACTATGCTGACAGACACATCAAACCTTGCCACAGCTCTCATTGATCTGCCATCCAGGATGAGCTGCACTACTTGAGCCACTTGTGTGGGTTGTAGACTCCGTCTCACGCTACCACTAGAGTGGAAGCCCCGTCAGCATTCAGAAGTGACCAAACCATCAGCCAGAAAGCATAGGAACTGAGAAGTGGTCTGTGGTCACCACCTGCAGAACCACTCCTTTATTGGGGATGTCTTGCTAACTGCCTATGCTTTCCACCTGTTGTCTATTCCATTTGCACAACAGCATGTGAAATTGATTGTCAATCAGTGTTGCTACCTAAGTGGACAGTTTGATTTCACAGAAGTGTGATTGACTTGGAGTTACATTGTGTTGTGTAAGTGTTCCCTTTACAAGGACTCATAATCCAGCAACTACAGGTAGTCTTTGACTTGCAACAATTCGTTCAGTGACTGTTCAAAGTTATAAGGGCACTGAAAAAAGTGACTTATGACCATTTTTAACACTTATGACCATTGCAGCATCGCCATGGTCAAATGATCAAAATTCAGATGCTTGGCAGCTGACCTACCTTTATGACGGTTGCAATGTCCTGGGATCATGTGATCCCCTGCGACCTTCTGACAAGCAAAGTCAATAGAGAAGCCAGATTCACTTAACAATTGTGATATTAACTTAACAACTGCAATGATTCATTTAACAATTATGGCAAGAGATGCCATGAAATGGGGCAAAACTTAGTTAACAAATGTCTCACTTAACAACAGAAATTTTATGTTCAATTGTGGTCATAAGTCAATGTCTACCTGTACAATTTTAATAGATACCTTTTGATTAAAAAAAATGAAATCCTTATATTAAATACACAATTGTTGAAACAATCAACATAAGTCTCTTCCCTCCTCTGCTATGCTTGGAAGATCTTCTCCAAAACATATGAAATATATACTATATATGATGCAATTATTGAAGCAAAAACAAATAAGCGTTTTCTTTTTTTCCCCTCTCTTCTTTTGAATTAGCTACAAAGGACTTTGAATTTGGTAAGGAATGAAAGTTCTTTCCCCTAGAGATATTTTCCACTCAAAATCATATTTCAAAATCATATA